AACATTTTCCATGTTGCCTTTCCCACCGTACAGCTGCTTGCAGGACAGAAGAAAAGTGCCCCTTTCTGGACATTTGAGTACTACCAGACCTTCTTCGATGTGGACACGTACCAGGTTAATACACTGTTCCAGAGGAGAACGTGTCTGAGCTATGCCTTAGCCATTGAGGTTTTTTTCTTTCTTGTATTTTTAGTCAGACAAGTCTGTATGTTTTATAGGTCCTGGACAGAATCAAAGGTTCAGTGTTCCCCGTGCCAGGGAAGAACTTTGTAAGGCTGTACATCCGCAGCAATCCTGACCTTTATGGTACGTATGAGGTGTTATTTTCTGTGCTAAATGTTTCGAGTTTGTATTTCTTTTTACTTGCTAGCCTTGAAAAGCAAGAGGGCAGAAGAGGTGTTATTGAACTTGTTCCCTTTTCAGGTCCATTTTGGATATGTGCCACACTCGTCTTCACCATTGCTGTTAGTGGCAATCTCTCGAATTTCTTCATCCATCTGGGCAAACCCACATACCACTATGTGCCCGAGTTCAGAAAAGGTTTGTAAGTGGCGTTTGTGACGTTTGAATTTTTGGTTTTGGATGTTTGTTTGGTTTTGTTTTTGGTTTTTTATGTGCTAATGAAGTAAACAGGTCACAGCTTTGATTTAGCAGAGTCTTTTGATTTATTGCTGTCTTTAAATTTTTAGAGATGTGAAACAAGTCCTTAAAGTGGGCTGTGACTGGCATAAATTAGTACAGGGTTTTAGTAGAGCAAGCAGGAGTAATTAGAGCAGTTATTTTCTAGCCTTAGTGAATGTCCCCTCGTACAGAGTGAAAGCCCAGCACTGGCTACAGTGGTGCTTTTGTAGGTGCCTTTCTGGATCTGTGCCCTCCTAGGAACCTGTAGACCTCAGGCAGAAAATTACTAAATTAATTACCCATATCACCTACTGAAGGCTGGAAATTGCTACTGTCTAGTAAACTTAAAAATAAGCTAAAGATGCTCAACTGATCTGGGCCCTAAAGAACTCAAGAGTGAAGAGGCAGTTTGTCTATATCTATCTTTGTATTACAAAGGCAGCTGCTGTCCCTGAAAAGGAACAGGGCTTCTGTTTGTTTCCAAAATCCATAGTGTACTTGGAAGAACGTTGCCACTAGGGAATGCAGTCACTTGAATAATTTCAGATTTGACACTAGCTGTTAGTAGCTGAATTTCTGTTTTTAACTAAGCTTTTCTTTCCTCCGTAGCTCTTCCTTTCACACTGTAACTGACAGCATTTTGTACACAGGGGTAATAAATTGAAAATATGAAGGGAATACTTTCTCAAGTTTTACTTTTAAACTAAGTTCAAGTGCTGGCAAAGTAGTGGGTGTAAAGTAGATGTAAATGCAAAGTTCTTTGTTTATTAATAATTCAAACTTTGTTTTGAAAGTAACTTCACAGGTATGTTTCTAGTTTTCAGGCTGAATGCTTCTACATCTTTGATTCTGTCTGGATTCTAAGCAGGACATTAAACCTTTTGTTGTATTTCCAGTGTCCATAGCAGCAACAACAATTTATGCATATGCTTGGCTTGTTCCCCTTGCTCTCTGGGGATTCCTGATGTGGAGGAACAGCAAAGTTATGAACATTGTCTCCTACTCGTTCCTGGAGATAGTGTGTGTATATGGCTACTCTCTCTTCATTTACATTCCCACAGCGGTATGTATGGCTAAAGAGTGCCCCCTTACATGCCCTGGTTGAGAAAATTTGTTATATATTTATTATATTTGTTATATATTTATTATATTGTTGATATTAGTCAAAATCTTGGGGACTGGGCAAGTCATTTGCTCTTTTTGTTGAAGTTTATTTAGTGTAAAGACGTCTTGTGCATGCTGGAAAAGCCCAGAACAGGTCATTGCCCCAGAGGCAACAAATCCAAGTAAGGTGCTGCTGGTGAGCCTGGCAGACAGCCCGAGGCAGCCTCAGGAATTGGGATGTGTGTGTCCCCAGGGAACAGACATCAGTGTGCAGGATGGCTCCAAGGACAAATTTCCCTGGCAGGAACTGTTCTGGGCCACTCCAGCAAGGGAAAAGCCTTGGCAGGAGTGCCTTAACTCAGGGGACACACTCTTGTCATGTCTGGGAGTAAAACTCATCACTGCTGTTATTCTTTCCTCAAATAAAGACATGTCAGATAAGACTTGAGTTAATTTGTGCACAAAATGGCTGGAAGTGATGAAATGTCACAGAACAATGCTTTAAATAAATGAATCCCTATTTCACACAGGCTCTTCGACAATCCTTTTCCTCCCTTTTGCAGATTTTGTGGATCATTCCACAGAAAGTGGTGCGCTGGGTGCTGATGGTGTTCTCCCTGTGCCTGTCAGGGTCTGTTTTGGTGATGACCTTCTGGCCCGCTGTCCGAGATGACAACCGGAGGATTGCACTGGCCACCGTGGGCACCATCCTTCTGCTCCATGCCCTCCTGGCTGTTGGCTGTTTGGTAGGACATTGCCTTCCTTTTCCCTAAACTGTTATTTCCTGGGACATGTTCTGGTACAGGGAAGGAGGGGTTGGCTGGCTGGTGGAAAACCTTTGATTATAGTACTTGTGAAAAACCTCCAAAGTAAAAACTCCAATTATTTTAAACGTAGCAAAAATTGATGCCAGTCTGACCCTGACTCTGCTGGTAATAAATTCAATAATCAATTACAGAATGCTAGAATATCTCAAGTTGGAAGGGACCCATCAGGATAATCAAGTCCAACTCTCACAAAACAGTTTTGAATTTACCTGGGATTCGTCATAATTTAATGCAAAGCATTAATCTCTATACTATCCAGTTGCAGTTTATTTCAAAGAATACTATGCTTAGTCCTTTAAAATGATTAAATGTTCAGTATAAAATGTGTGCTTATGAGTTTTTTAGCAGGTTTATGTTTTCATACACAAACCTTAGTAAAGTAAGTATTATAAAACAGAAGACCCTGATGCCACTGAAATACACAATTGTGAATACTTAAATTATTTGTCTCTTCAGTGCAGTGGGTAGAATGGTATCATCCAGGCTTCGTTTCTGTTTCCCCTAGCTTCCAGATTATATAGATTTGATTCCCCACAGTGTGCAGGGGGATGACAGCAAAACACATCTGTCCTTAGATGTGAAATTGAATCCTTTCCTGGATAGGTCTTTTTCAAAGGCCTTGGTTGCTAACTTATATTTAAAAGTACAGTTTAGAGCACCATTTTAATTGACTGTTTCTAATTTGATAAAAACAGGAAAAGATCCAAATGTGTCATTTCAGTGCTGTGTTTGTACCTTGTGAACAGTGGGTATGGAAAGAAAGGGCTGGGATGACACAGCACTATTTGTTTCTCTCTAAACAGTCTTTTTCTCCTCTGTAATAATACTGTTAGGCATACTTTTTTGATGCCCCTGAACTTGATTTTCCTGCACCTATTATCTCTGCTCACAATGGAACAACAGTAACAACAAAGAGTCACTAAGTAAGGTAAGAATCCAGTCTCAACTTTTTTTTTTCTATATTCATCACAGACATCTTGAAACTTTTACTCATCACTGTGGTTGAGTGAAAAAGGGTTTAACAGACCAATTTTGCCAAATGGGGTCTCTATATAAATACCATTTATGAACTTTGTTTCAGTTGTAAGTTTTAAGTATAGACACAAAAACTGAAAAGACTCTGAGGAACAGAGATGTTATGTTTCTTTTCTTCTTGGCGAAGAAATACACATTTAAATAAATAATCAGTCCCAGAGATCATGTCAAGATTTTTCCCCCCTCAATTGCTTACAAAACCCCCAAAGCATTTATTTGAATTTATTCTGCACAAGTAAAACTTAAGCAATAAACAGTTATATTCCTGGTTTTCTTTCATTTTAATGTAAAAAGCAAGTTGGATTTTTTTTTCCCCTTGATGCAACAGTGTTTCAGAGGAGCAGCACCTGTGAGTGTGGGGACATCTGTGTAGGCTCTGGGCAGGGTGGACTCGGAGCCTGAGCCATCCCTATGGACTGCATTATTTGTGTGAGATAGTTTGAGGGTTTGCTTCCTGGTAGCTGGGAGTGCTGCCAGCAGCGGATGACATTCGAATTCTGTTGGATAATTCTGTGGAGCAAGTCCAGGAAAAGGCTAATAAACATGCAGAGGCCAGGCCTCTGCAAGCCACAAGTGTGTATGTGGAAATTAGAGTATTTTCTGAATAGAAGCTATATTAGATTTAAAATAAATAAAAATAAATAATGACTAAATATGCCTAGCAAAAGTGGTAATAAAAAATGACACAATCCAATCATGCAGGTCAATTTTAGTGGCTTTTCCTCCTGCAAGATCAGTTTCTCATCCCTGATGCCTAATAAGAATCAATACGACAGTAATGAATTTTAGTATTTAGATCTAAATGTGTGCCTTATTGTGTCCTCTGGTGACGAGCTGAAATATTCATGGGAGTTATTTGTCTCTTTCAGATTACAATGCCGGTTTCTCCATCTGTACAGTAATTTTATTTAGATTTATTTTTTGCTGAAGACAATGGAAACTGGAAGAATGGGGGATGTTTTCTGTGGCAGAACAGACAGCGATGTCCCATGGACATACAGACATCCCCATGCTCGTTGGAGACAGACTGGTTCCATGAGCAGAGCAAACCATTGATCACAATCTATAACACAAGGGATTTTTTTTGTTTGTTTGGGTATATTTTGTTGGTTTTGTGTTTTGGTATTGTTTTTTTTTTTAATTCGGTCTACATTCGCCATGCTGTTTGCCTCTCAATAAAGCGTTTTGAAGGCGATTTGAGATTGGTATTTTGTCCATGAGGCTCTAAAACTGTGGGAAGGGTTTAGTAAGGGGTGTGGGAGACCTGTGACAGGATTGAACGCCCTTGAGGCGAGCCCGTGCCGCCACCGAGGCTTTCAAAGTGTTACTAAACGGATTTAACGTGGACTAGTTTTACAATTTCCAACCCGGGAGGACCCTCAGGGACGGGGAGGGGCACCCCCTCAGACCGCCATGGCCGCACGGGGCACGCCGGGACTTGTAGTCCATCCATCGGACGTGACGGGGCGGGCGCGCCCTCCCATTGGCCGCTGCCCGCGCGAGGGCGCGCGGCGGAAGTGTCGCGGGCCCGGCACGTGGGGCCGTTGGGCGGCGGCTTTGAACGGGCGGCGGGGCCGGGCCGGGCCATGGAGTCGGCGGCGGGCGGGCAGCGGGCGCTGCTGCGGCAGGTCGGGGACAAGGGCAGTGCTCTGGGACCGCTCCCCTCACGCTGCGCTCCTTTCAGGCGCTGGGCTGGCGGGTGGCGGCTAGCCCCGGTCCCCCCTTATAGCTGTCTTCCCTCAGGCGCTGGGTTGGCGGGAGGTGCCCGTCTCCTTCGGTCCCCTCACGCTGCGCTCCCCTCAGGCGCTGGGCTGCCGGGTCCTGGACCCCCCGTCCCCCCGCTCCCCTCACGCTGTCTCCCCGCAGGTGCTGGGCTGGCGAGTGGCCGCCGCTGTCACCTGGTCCGTGGTGCTTCTGCCTGTGTGCACAGCGGCCTTCATCGTCCTCAGCGGCCTCGACCTGCTCCACCCGGTGCGCTGGATCTCGAGTACGTGCCCGTCCGTGTTTTCCTGATTTTACACTCGCGTATTTGTGTTTGTGTCTTTGTCTCCACTCTGTGTTGTCTTGGGCTCGGTCCCAGATAACGGGAGCTGACAGTCATACCGTGTTACACTTGCGCTTTGTGTCCTGAATGGTCTTTAAACTTTGAAGTGTTTCTGTGTTGCTTAAAACCACACCGCCCATAGTCCTCCCTAGGCACGAATAAGTGTTGCAAGTTCACGTCCCTCACAGAAAGAAACCTGGGGTAAGTGGCTTATTTGTCTGTTCCGAGTAGTCAGACACACTTCCCCTTCCACTCTGTGGAGCTGCTGTTTCCATAAAGAGCTTCAGTTTCCTCTGTGGTACATGGAATCACAAGTGAAATTCCTGAGGCAGCCATTCCCCATGATGAGAATAACTTTCACTTGAGTACACACACCAAAAATTGAGAGATGTTTAGCTGGGAGCTTGAGACCTGTGATCACTGAGCTGCTCCAGGCAGAGAGACTTGATTTCTTTCCCCCTTTGCTGCTTTTGGGGTTTTGTATTTTCAATCTGTAAGGAATTTCTTCCCTTTTTAGCATTGCTGGATGGCTGCAACTTTTATTGAATGAAGGGAATCTGCTTTATATGAGCCATAGTTTAATTCACTTAGAAAGCTTTTTTTTTTAAACAAAACTCTGAGTGTTCAGTTCTGAGAAAACCACTTACAAGGGTGTAAAATATTTTCTGTGAAGTTTAAATGTGGTTTTATGCAGAAATGTGCATCTGTGCAGATCTAGTGGGATTAGGGAGTCCATTGACCATTACTCCCCTTTAAGCTCTCACTGGATTATTGCTGATTTACTTAATGTGCCACTGCTGCATTACTGCAATCCCCTGAACTATAATGTTTTCTATTTTTTTAGATTCTTTCAATGATTTGTATACTTCCTACGTCATCTTTTGTATCCTCCTCATGTCTGTGGTGCTAATTGTAATCAGCATCTTCAATGTTGAATTTTATGCAGGTGGGTTGTGTAAACTGCAGAACTGTCTTTTATACTCTAATTAAATAGGATGACCATTTAAAGACATTTGGGCTTACATTCAATGTATTTAATGTTGGTGGATTAGATTTCCTTTTAAACTAATATAGAGAATATGCAAAGCTTATTTTTGAGTAAATCATCCCAAATTCCCATTTACCTCATGGCTGAGACACTTAGCTGAACCATCTCATTGATTTCTTTATAATTTAGTGACTGATCCCAACTGTGAAAAGTTCTTTGGTGACAATGGTGGTTTTTTCATTTTTTTTAAATGAAAGGTTTTATTAGTAAGAAGTGAAAATTCGTTTTCTGCTTTATTTACAGTTGTGCCATCGATACCATGCTCTCGATTAGCACTGATAGGAAAAATTATTCACCCTCAGCAAGTCATCCATTCTTTTGTTCATGCTGTAATGGGAATGCTGGTGGCTTGGTGTGCTACAGTTATGACAAAAGGCAGGTTCAAGTTTCTTGCTGTGTCCTGCACGCCTTCAGAAAGGTAACTGTGTGTGTGTGTTAAAGATAAACAAAGAATTTTTATTATAAAATATATTTACTGATAATTTCTTTCAAAAAATCTCTAGAATTTGGGTACTCTCAAAAATAAGTAATTCTATGTTGATTTTCTTTATTAAAGGACAGAAAATACCACCTTTTTTAAGTGTTACAGTGCATAGAGAAATAACTGGACCAGAAAAACTAAATTGCCAGGATTCTTAGTGGAAAGTTGAATGGTGACAAATTGGTTGTCACTTGAATTAGGTCTTGGTCTTATGGTTAACGGGACATACTTCATAAATACTGGAAGCATCCTAAATGCATAAAATACAAAAACAGGTGGTGGGATTCCTGCTTTAGGAAAAACTTACTGAGATACCATCACATGTACTGATTAGGAAAGCAAAATCAGACTTCTCATTTGAACTTCCTAAGGCTTGAATGAGTTTATTTGTTTTGAACTCAGAATTAATTCTCAGTTTTCTGTTGTAGCCTAGATGATGCTACTCCTCAGATGTGCCTAAATGAGTATCACCTCTTCTTTCTACTTTCTGGAACTTTCTTGGGATACAGTTATAGCCTTTTCTATCTTATCAACAATATGAATTATTTGCCATTTCCAATCATACAGGTAAGAGGTTTAAACATTTTTGTCAAAGGACATGTCTAAGTAAAACAGTGATCAGAAAAAAGCCTGGATAGTTTGTATATCTGTGGCAGTAGGAGTGGTCTGTGGGCAGGCTCTCACTGACAGATGAAGTGTGCACTCAGCTTTAAATGCCAGCAGTGCTCATCTTCCTCCTTCCTGCTCAGCTCCCTTCAAATGAACACAAAAATTGGGATGCTGTGACTGGAATATTTAGACTTCGACTCATCTGATGCATGTTAAAAGCTGGCTAAGGTGGCAGGTGAACTACAGGAAAGAGACAACGTACACTGGATACCAACTGGAGGCAACTGGATATCAACTCCTTGAACTGATAACAAGGGTCACCTAAAAGCTGAGACTCTTGAGACTTTAAAAATAAAGAAAGGCATATTATCAGTTGTAACTGGGTACCAACTCAGTTCAAGTCTAAATAGCATATTTAATCTTGCTTAAAGCTCAATATCTAAAGCTGTTCCATGTTTGTAGTGCTATGGAAACTGAAATTCCATCAATTCCTTTAGAGGGGACAGTCCCGCAGAAGCAACCTGTACCATTGTGAAACATCATCTTAAAAAATACTTATTCTGTTGCTGTAGCCTCACAGCAGCCATTAACTTTGCCTCATTTGCAGATTTACACAGTCCAGCCAACTTGGCAAGAGGTGTCTTTAAACAAGGTTGCTTGTATTAGTGAAAAACATTTATTCTGCATTATGCTGAGCATTGAGTTTATCAGCAAACCAGACATCATTTTGGCAATGCTGCAGATGTAGTATTTTTAAAAAATCTATTATTTGAATATTGTTAATTCTCCTTTTTTTTTTAATGTAACTTAGCCAAGGAAAGAATGAAATAACTTTGGTTTAATTTGCATGGTTTCATTTTCAAGGTTTTGTTTGTCAGCTGGGTTGCTTTAGTCATTTGGAAAGAAATATAATTTATTTGCATCAGTGTTAGGTTGGTTTCTCTCCTTGGAGGATTACTGACTCTGAAACTCATGTTTGTCTAAATTTCCCCTATAATTTAATTGAACATTTAGAATCTAAATGAAATCTAGTAGATGAAATATGTATTCTTCGGGTTTTTTTCCTTTATTTTGCATTAGAGTTTATAGTGTCTTCCCTTGTGTATAGAGTCAATTTACTCCATCCTCCATTTTCTACTGCTACAAGTACGAAAAAGGATGAGAACTAGAGATGCAGGAAAGATTGGGAGAATAAATAGTCTGGAATTGCCTTAAACTAATTTTTTAACTCATCTAGACTTCAATACTAAACTTTTACTTGTTTGTTTTTAGCAATACAAGTATCTACGTTTCAGAAGATCTTTGCCTCTCCTGATCAAACACAGTTGTGTGGAATCATTATATTTTGTTAGAAACTTCTTTGTTGCATATTACTTTTTTGGTATGTGTTCCTGAAGTTCTCTCTCTTTTTTTTTTCTTTTTATTCCTGTATTTGGAAAACTTTAATCAGTCAGGCCTGTTATGCTATTTTGCAGCCTTTCAGGTAACTTGCTGAAGACACTTAGACTTGTTTAAACAGAGAGATCTAACACCTCTGTAAGACAGGAGGAAAAGGCACAGGGTTTGTGCAGCAATATTTGTAGGATGGCAGTTCTTAGAGCCCCACAGAAGTCTGTTTAGCATAAGAGAAATGTCTCTTTCCAAAGAGATGAACACCTTCTATAAGAATTTATTGTCTGGCTGATACATGATAAGAAGGTGACAGTGTTCTAGGGAAAAGGGAGTGGGGAATAATACGTTTCTACCCTGAAGTCTGTTTGATCACTGTGTTACTGTCTCTGGTGATCTCTTCTGTGCAGGAAATCTCATTGTAGGCAGCAGTGAAATAACCTGTAATTGCTTGTAAATGGAGCAACCAAATTCTGATCAGCTGGTGGTTTACAATTTACATCAAAACCTGATGCCTTGGGCCACTCTGTACATACCTGTCCTGATTTGTGCAAAGAGGTTATAAATCTGAAAACAGTGCAATTGAAAAAAAGGTTTTGTCTGTAATTTATATTCCCTTTTTTCTTTAAATATCCGGAAATATATATAGATTAATAAACATCTCCATGCCTTGGGACTGCTCCCTTCATTGCTTGGCATTGGAAGTGTAGTGTCACAGAGCTGAACCTGACACACCAGCAGTGGGCATGACTTCACCACATGTAATGTTGCTATGTTTTCCCTAATTTTTTAGGTAAGAAATAGCACTTTGGCTTTATTCTCAAGTGCCCTATATATTTTTTGGAGGGAGCTGGGGAGACAAAGGCAGTATGGCTCCCTCCCACATGAAAATGGCATTTTGTCTTTAAAAAAAATCTCTGCTGATAAAGATGTTTGCATCGGACTTCTAAAAATAAGGAATTCTTTATGTTATGGTTGTAATTATCCCCCTAAACAATGTCAAAATATGCAAGAATTATTTCCACTTTATTTACATCAGGAGATAAATTAGAAGTATGGTGGTTCTATGTCAGTTTCCATTAAGTCTTTAAAAGCACTTTGCTGCTGCCGGAGCTGTAGTGAAAATTAGTATTAAACTACTATTAACTCTCTTTTGTGAGTGAGAAAACACAATTAACTCAGTGCTGAGAAGCTGGCAATAAAAGAGAAGGTCTACATCTCTGTGTATAGTTGCTGGCCTGAAGCCTTTTTTTCATTCTCTTGTTTCTATTTCTTGAAAAAAACCAAAAACCCCAAAGGCAGATTGTTTCCTTGTCCACGTGTGTTACAAGACCAGTCTCTTGTCTCTGCCTTAATTCTGTTTTTGTCTTCTTTTTGGCCTGTTGTGTGTGTGTGCTGCAGTGTCACATTTGTTTCAGTGTTTCTTTTTGATTCCGTAGGTTATATCCCAAAGGTATGGATATGTACCACAATGGATCTTCATATAGACAGGTAGGTAGGACATTGTGCTGGAAGCTTGGAATGCTGCTGACAGCTCCCTTTGCTGAGGAGGTGCAGCTTAGCAGCTGCCTCTTGGTAGCAGGACTTGGTTCCTTGCCTTCCCACACAAAACATGGGGAGCGTTGGGTGCTTCTGAAGTGGATCCAAAAGGAACCAAAAACCCTTTGTGGGAACCATCTTGTCATTAAGATAGTAATTAAGAAATCCTCTGTTTATTCCATCTCTATAAGTCTCTAAAGTATTAGAAAGGCTAATCTCTCCGAATTGCTTGTATGTGTTGTACCTGCTTTTCTGTGGTGTTTTTTTGGTGGGGCATCTTTATTTTTATATGGCTCTTGTTTGTTTTAAAATAGGGAAACTGGAGTCTTAACACCTTAATTGACTAAAACTGTAATCATTATTACTTATTTCATATTTCTTTTCCTTAATTTCATTAATTTGTCTGAACTTTATTTCATCAGTTACTGAAAAATCAAAGAACTGGTATCTCAAACATATTTAAGAAATTGTTTTTGCAAAAAGAAAAAATACAACTTTATTCCTGTAGTTGTTGTTGCTGCTGTAACAGCTTACTGCAAACATCTTCCAAAATAAAACTACTAAAATACTTGTATCTTCTTGGTTTTGTCTCCAGTAAATTGCATCCTCTTGACACTCTGAGTGGCTTATTGGATCTCTCCTTGTTTTACCATACCTGGTTGAGTGGTGTGTTTCTTCTGATGACCTGGTACATTGCATGGCTGCTCTTCAAAATCTATGCTACAGAGGTTAGTACTTGTGACAGTGCTAAAGGTAGAACATTGGTGTTGCACAGACAATACTTTCTTTCAAAAGCAGTTTTACTAGGAAATAATTTATTGTGAGTTGAATTTTCACAGCATGCACTGCAGACAGTAACTGATAACCCAACAGTCAAGACAGGCCTGGGCATTAACTGACTTTCCCTTTCTCCTTAGAGCAAGACAAGCTAAGAAAACAATAAACTGTTTCCCACAAGCTGAGCTCTAGAAAGCTCAAATTTAAGCAAACCCTCAAAGTACAGAGTTCTCCAGAGCAGAAACATGTTAATCTAATTAGGTCTGCATATTAAAATAGACTTCAAGAAACCGTGGGAATTAAGACATTTGTGCTTTTTCATTCAACCATAAAGTTACAAATTAAAAGGGCTAAAAAAAGACCATTTAAATATATGAGACCCCGATTGAAGGGGGGGAGGAGAAAGGAAAAGTCTTGCCAACAAAGATTTGACTGATCTTTGTTTACAAATACAGATATTTCTTTGTAAGAATACAGAGGAAAAAAAGTCCAACTTTTTTTTCAGTGAAAGCTTGACTAGACTGCAGATAAATAGGGGGAAAAAAGTGAGGTTTAAGTCCTGCATCAATGTATTAGTGCAAAGCACTCATGGAGGAAAATGGTATACAGTGCTGTTGGGATGTTAGCTTTAAAAAGGTCTAAGCATAAGAACAGCTCTGAAGTGTTTCAAAGGATAATAATGGAAGCACCAGTGAACACTGTCGCTGTCTGTAATTGTTCTATTGCTTATAGAACTGTGGAAGACAAAAATATCCATCTGGGAAGGTATAAAATGGACCTTGCCCTTTTGACTGTTGAACAAAACATTTGTTTATTCACACGATTTTATTTTTTTAATGAGCTAAAAAAATTCCAGAGTTGTTTGTAAGTATTTGCATAATGTTAACCGAAGTAATGAAAGAAATTTAGTCTACTTAAAGTCCATTTATTAACACTTTGAAAGCAATTGCTACCTCAAATTTAAATTTTGCAGTTGGAAACAGAGGAGAATAAAGCTATGGGTGTGTAAGATGAGTGCAGTAACATAAAACTAACAGTTAATCTGTGCCCAAAGTGAACCATGTTAAATAGAGTTAAAAACTTGTGATGTTTGATACAATTCAAGCACTGCTATTCACATTTTAAATGTTATAGCCACAGGAATTCTATTAAAACACAGGACATGAAAATTATGATGATAAAAATAAGAATTTTTTAGCTTATCAGTGGAACAGTGCAAAAGAAAAATTTTAAAAATCTTTTCTTATTTGGTAAAAGAGCTCTTAGTTCTTCACCAGAGTGGTTACCCAGGTCAAGACAGACTTTACAGTTCAGGTTTCAGTCTTGTTTTGGAAGATGGTATCACTAGTTTTTCACAGGTATGTGGTTGGAGGAATTTCTTTCATAATGATATGATGCACCTAGCTATGTATTCTATGGGTACATGGAAGGTATTTTAAGATAAAAATATCTGAATTTTTTCTGAGATTTTTCAATTTTAAACATAAGGAGTAAAGTCTTTTTATTACATGTTAGAAGTTCCAGGTCAGTTTACAGTGAGTTGAAGCAGTGGATTATGTGCTTTTGTAGCTCATCATTCACCTGACAAGTAACAGCTCAGGTGGGTTTTTCATAAGGTTTTCTTGTGTTTTCCTCTGTATGACATAACTTCTGATATTTATATTTAGACTCATCATTTTCCTGTCCAGCCAACATTTGCTGAGGAGACAGACCAGTGCCTGCCAAAAATCTTAAACAGCAATCCTCCCCTCCTTATAAAGGTAATTGAGCTCCCACCATCTTCCCTGTTGGCTGTGTGCTGAGATGTTTGTCAGAGCACTCAGTCACATCCTCCTGGTACCAGTTCTGTTAACTGAGGTGCCAGTTCCTTCAAAAGCTGCCCCAGAACATTCACAAAGGCTGTTACACTTAATGGTGAAAATTTGTTTAGTAGTGACATCTGCTGGTGCTCACCATGCTGTTACTGTAAGGATTCATTTAGTTAGAGGGAAAGATCTGTTTGCAACAGAAGTGTATTGGTGTGTACAGTGAGTAAAGAAAAGGAATTTTGGTCTATGGTAATCATTAATAGGACTTACTGATTATAATACTTGGAAATGGAAGGCCTCATATAAGAAGTATTATGTAAATAAAGATAAGATTATTCTCCTGCACACGCAAAATCCACATTTACCGATAGTACAGATTTCTGGTAAGGCTGGAGATACAATAGGTTGGAATGCCTTTTTAAGCTTAGCTGCATTATCAGAGGATGTGTGGAGAAGAGTTGAGTACAGCACAATTTATAATCTCAGATGTTACTAAAAATGTCTAATTTATGATAGGGTCTTGCATATGGTGCACGTTAATTATCACATGAAAAAGAATGTTAGGTTGGTCCCGTTAAGGCACTGACCCTAAAGCTGTAGGTGAGCTCTGGTTTGCAAAAACAGTTATTTCCTTAGACTTTTTTGTGTCTTGGGCTCCTTCTACCTGAGCTGCTGAGATAAAAAATAGTGTTAGATCTACTTGAATTCCAAAGAATTGACATATCAGTAAAGTTCTCTGAAGCTCTTACCAACTCGGCAGCCACATCCAGAGTGGTTCTAGGGATTTGCCTCCCTTCTTTTTCTGTTTCATGGCTGGTTTTAGTCTGTGTGAACTCATTCTTTGGTAGGGATTGATTTTGTATGGATAACTCCATACTTTTTTAAGGAAATACACTGGACTTTGCATGCACTAAAACATTTTCCTCTGTTGTTAGTTTTTAGCCTTACAAGACTTGATGTTACTTTCCCAGTACTCCCCTGTTCGACGACAGGAAGTCTTTAGCCTTAGTCAACCAGGTAATTACAAAAACTATTTCGTGTTGATTCTTTTCCTTTTTCAAAAATTGTTAGTCAAATGCTTTTATAAGTTATGCAATTTTGTGAGGCCTCATCCCTTGTGGTGCCTTTTCCAAAAGAACACTTAATTATCTATATTCGTATTGTTTCATCTACTAAACTCAAACAATTGTGGTGTCTGATTTAAATGACAGCCATGAGGATATACAGGTTTAGGATATTGAAAGCAGGGCCGTCTTCACACCACCAGTCAAATAGTCCAGATTGGATATTCCAGCAGATGTGTATGAAAGCTGAATGTTGAGGTGTGAGTGAGGGGAAATCAGGCACAAATAGTGAGTCACCCCTGGAGCCATGACAGCAAACACTGGCTGTAATTTCAATTAGTACACAGGCCCTTTGCTATATTCAAAGATATGGCAGAGAAGGTCAATTAAAACTGTTTAGAAGCCTTCAGGAACTTTTTGTAACACCTTATCAGGAATTCTAGTGTTTGTACTGCTTCAGACCTGTTTGCCATCCCCATTGATATTACTTTGTTCATTTTAACTGTTCAGTGATTTCAGGTCAGATGGGCTGAACTGCCTGTTTCCTGCTTGCTTAGCAGGTTCCACTGAAGTCTTTTTAGAGTTATCCATTGATAGGAGGATGGAATCTGTCCATGTTTTCATCTTCCTCTCAGTACAAACAAGCTGTCACAGTGGAAATGCCCTGTGGCGTTTTACAAATGGAGTAGTACTGTCACTGTGAAGCTCCTGCTGAGAGCACATGGGCACTGTCAGAACAGATACAAGAGGAGCAGCTGGGCTAAACATTCCTTTTTGTGTGCATATGTCAGGTGGGCACCCACACAACTGGACTGCAATATCAAGGGAGTGTTTGAGTCTTCTGAGTGATCTGACCCAGAGGCTGATCGCACAGCAGGAAGCTGCAGCAGCAAACGGGAGAGCAAAGCAGCCAGTGGGGGAGCTGAAAGTACCTCCACAGACTCCAGGTGAGGAAATGCTCATGAAGGTTTGTAAAGCATGAAAGTACAGATAGATACATGGGTACATTAGTTTTAGTTAAGCTCTACGAGGAAAATGAGTCACAGGAATTTCTGGAAATAAATGCAAGCAAAAAAGATTCTCCCCCAATTTCATTTTAGGTATTCTTGTTGAGATAACCTCAAAATAACTAGAAAGCTTGGAAAAAATATGTTTACTCAGTTTGTTTACAAACTTGCCAAGAGATGCTTTTTAATTTGCATAACTGCTCTTATGATTAGTTTAAGATGGTAAAATTAGGGTTTTTTTATGTTTGTGTGATTCACTAATATCACCGTAGAATAAGAAAAGCCTAGTCTGACTCCTGAGCTGTGTGCAGCCTCCAAGCATTTTGGATGTTTTACCTGCCAGACTTGGCCATCATTCCTGGCAGCAGAGCTGTGTTAGCACAAGGCTGCCAGGTAATGAAATCCCTTAGCAGGCAGTGCTCTGGGAACAGCAGGGACTGTTGGTATGTCAGAGGTGAATTTCTTCTGATGCTGCTATTCCTTGGATTTTGAGACAGACATGCCTTTTTTTACATACCATACTTGCCAAAGACTTGTCACTCTTCTATATGTAGCCTTTTCTCTAGTACTTAACCCTAATAGCCCACTTTATGTGGATCTATATCAGGGTGTAGTAATGGTGGCTAGCAAAAGGAGAAAAATAAATTCACAAGGATCCTTCTCATTACTTGCTGTTCTCAAACTGTTGAACTTGGAAAACACTCCATGCTTATGCTGATGTACTTCTTTGCAAGACCACAGTGGTAACAATATCCTATAATAAAAGCTCTGATGATACAGAAGTTGTTGAAATAGCAGTGAGATAACAAACCTGTCTCTTATTTCATCTGTGCCAGCCTGTTGTCTCCATGCAGTGTGTTCTTTGTCATTAGGAGCTGTTGGGACAGAAGACGTGTCTTTCCAGTCACAGAGGTCTAACATTGTTCTCAGAGCCACCATGTCTCCACTGGTTAAACCGTCCCTAATGCCTCTGAAGACATCTCCTGGGTCTGACATTGGTTCACCCTTCAGCTCACCTGCTGTAAATTGCAAGAAGGGAGTTATGGATCTAAATTCCTCTTGGCATGGACCGCTCCAAAGTCCCCTTGTTATGAGAAGGGGACCAAAGCTGTGGACATCAGTTTCAGGTAGAGATTTTTCCACAGCACTGTCTTATAGCCATAAGTGTAGTAGCCATGTCAATGGAGAGCTGTATTGTGAGGACTAAAGTGACAGCAACCAGTTTTTCTGAAGATACTGTATTTTTTTTCTTGTAGATCATCAAATGAATGGTTCCCACCATGAGTCCTTCCCAGTGCTCTCTGCTGCAAAAGCTGGCAGCGAGGCAGTACAGCCCAAATTTATTTACACATGGCTTCAGAACAAGCAAGAACAGGTAGAGTAAAACTGCAGTATATACGGGGTGCACCTTGAGTATTCTTTGGAAGAATTTCCCATTTTATGGAATGAATACTTCCTTCTCCGCTTAGCTTACATAACACAGATCCTTCCCTCCCCCTACCCCTCAATGCCTCTATACTGTGTGAAGCTGGTAGGATTGAGGAGGGCCAACTGTGCATACCTTACATAAATACAGATCATAAGTTTAATCTTTTGTTTCTTTTCAGATAAAAAACTTCTTGTCCAGACGGGCACTGATAATGTATTTCTTCAGTAAGGTAAGGGTGATCCTGTGTTTGGGACTGAGCAGCAGGGACTAGAAATGCAGGACCACATGGGCTCTGCTGTGGCCTTTTGTACCTTGTCATAGAGTAAGGATTCTAAAACCTGTATTTTCATCTAAGGTTTTCCAAAGTACAACTTTGTACTTACTGTGAGTTTCATAGCAGGATTATCCCATACCTGTCTGTTCTGAGGGGAAGGACAGGACCCTATGGAATGTGTAATACCTTAGTGAAACCTGCAGGTTTGGTGTTATTATTTATAAAGTGCACTCACAACATTTTGGTTTCTTCTCAGCACCCAGAAGCCTCCATCCAGGCTGTCTTCTCTGATGCCCAAATGCATATCTGGGCTTTGGAAGGTAAGCAGTTTCCAGGTGATCCACTCTGTTGATTCATGGAAAACTTTCTGGGCCTCTGTGCTTTATAAATATAACAATAAAAGTCTTTGAAACACTTTTGACAAAATCCCAACTGCATTTCAGACACCAGACACCATTAGGCTAAAGTCTAATTCACTTGTTAGTTTTGAGATCCCATCTGAGATCTCTTACTTTATGTTCTGTAGAGATCCCTAAACTTATTTCTTTTGCTTCTCCCTGATGTGAAGCCATGTATTACTTTTTACATTTTCCCACCAATAGATTTATGACTTCTTTTTACAGCAGCTTTTCTGACTAAAGGCTCTGAGTGTTTCTCTGTTAATCAGGGAATTGAGGGAGGCACTCAGGTCGTAACTTAGCAAATAAACAGAAAAAGATGATCTGCAGAGAATCAGAACAATGACAGTATGTGGTTGCACTTTGGGATTTTCTTGTTTCTTGTGGAAAAAGGGAGCCAATGTGTTTTTAAAAATTTATTTAATATATAATCTCTCTTGCTTTATCAACCTCAAGCTATAATACACTTGTAAAACCAGTGACCGATTTAGTCCTTGAGCCAAAGCTGAGGTAACTGTCAGCTGGCTGCAGCAAGTCCTGAAGAGCTCTACCACACTCACAGATTCTTCAGGCAATGCCATGATCTTTGTTACTGAATTCTCAACCTTTGAAGTATTAATTAGAGCAAAAGTCTTTGTTGTTTGGGTTTTTTTAAAGGTCTGTCTCACTTGGTAGCAGCCTCCTTCACTGAAGACCAGTTTGGAGTTGTCCAAACTACACTGCCAGCTATCCTGAATACTTTACTGACTCTTCAGGAGGTAAAACTGTTAACTTTTCCTTACTGCAGGACAAGTTTAGGAGGAGTCTTGTTAATTTTACATTATGACCTTGCTGAGTAGTCATAACATTCAAGTTGTTGCCACTGAAACAGCTCTTTTGCAGTTAATCTGAACAAAACAGCTGGTTGTCACTGTGTGCACTATGAAACAGCTGAATAAAAACCTTGTTTGTTTTTTAAAATGTAGAAGGAGAAAGCATGGAATGTTTCAAAATAAAAAATGGTACTGTGTGCTTATTTCAGGGATGCAGCAATTATACTACTATATTTTATGCAGAGTTAGGACTGTATTTGGCTGTACACAATTCCTCGTGCAACATGGAGCACTTGGAGACATTGCAAATCACAGGAGATAAGATCTGTATGATGTTCTCTTTCAAAATACTAAGACATTACCCTCAAGTCACTGATGTTTGTTCAATGTGTATTTTTAAAAATCCAGATTTATCTCCAAGGCTATGCATGTCCTATTGACATAATCATTTTACACTGCCCTAATGGACATTCTTGGAAAGAATTTGGAGGTTATTAAAGTTTTTCAGTGCAAGTCATCTATTCCAAGAACAGGCACAAGGGGGAAAAAAAAAGCCAATACCCTTGTTTCTAAAAGAAACAAGTCATAATATAGGACAGAATTGTGTTTCTACTGCAGCATGTGCTGTGCTTGGCAGTTAAGACTAGTAACAGAGAATCTTGGTTCTGTGTTCCTGTTGATGGCTGGGAAACAATCAATCTCCAAAACATTCTTGTGTGTCTTGGTGGAATTTCCAAATGTGCACTTTTTTTGCTCTATTTGACACAAACGTGTCAAATGGCTACATTATGAAATAATTGAACAGATGACCTGTTTTTTCATTTATGTTTTTCTCAATCAGGTTGTAGACAGACATTTCAAACTGCCACATGTTTCTAGCAAGCCCCCCCGGGTCTCAGGGAGTCTGGTGGACACATCCTACAAAACACTACGGTTTGCACTTAGAGCATCTCTGAAGACAGCACTGTACAGGATAACTACTGTCTTTGGAGAACACTTAAAGTAAGAAATTCCTCATGATTGCTTGCTTGTTAAATTTAGTTTAATTAATGTTATTGTAGAACCTGTGAGAAAGGAAGTTTGGGGAAAAAAAATCTCTTAAGGTCATTATTTTAACGTGGTATTTTAGTACTTTTTTGATTTGTGGAACCTTAAAAAGTTCTTGTGTAGATATATGGTCCCGCTTAGAAATTTATTATTCATAGATTTCTGGGTAATTTTTCTTAGTGACTTTTCATGAACTCTTTAGAAGCAGTTCATGAATACCACTCATTTAATAAATCTGAGCTGCTGAAAAGAAAATAAATCAAGTAGAGACAATTGTTCTGTAGGGAGAGAATCCTATGAAGGGTCCAAATGGAATTCCCTTGCTGCCTGGTCACCCAAAGGCTCTTTCTCAGCTACTGTCACAGCAGCCAGACTTTCATACTTGACCTCTGAATATGTGGGACTGAAATTTCCTGCAGCATCTGCCCATCTCCCTGTGGGCATGAAACGTCCCTCAGTTTGGAAGTGCTCGATATACAGGAGAGATCATTTTAAGAGATTCTCACCTAAGTCATCCTTGCAAGTTAATCAGTTGCTCTGTGTATTTAAAGGTAAGTAAATGGACAAGGTTTCCTGGGACAAGTGTCTTTTAGTAGTAGGATGAGAATTGACAGTTTTAAGGGTTAATACATTGCTTTGTCTTGGAACATAGGTTTTTCATACAGCTGGGTTTTCTGAAATTTAGCTTCAGTGTAATTGATTTCAATGTATACTCAATTTTGGCATGAGACTATTTTTGTGGTGTATTACACTTAATGTAAAATGTTCTGCTTTTGTTTTCAGTGCAGTGCAAGTGTCTACAGAACATAAGAAAAGACTTCAGCAATTCTTGGAATACAAAGAATAAATAACAGATTTTGATGCAGCTACGGTTGGGTTTTTCCAAGACTCTTGCTAAGAAGAAAGTGAGACTAATGAGTCTTTTTATTTTGGCTTTTTGGAAAAGCATATGGAAGTACAAGTTGCAGAACAAAACTTTTAGAAGTGTAGAAGAGCTCTTAGGGGTTTGGATCATCTTTTGTATAATAAAACTTGTAAAATTCATCTTGCCTTCTTTTAATGTCACAAATGAGAAAGTGCCAGTTCTTCTTTTAGGTAAGGCTGTGACATTTGAGATTACCAGAGTTACTTTGACACTCAGATCTTTCATTATTTTTCACACTGTGTTCTTTCCCTACCCTTTTCTGTTAAAGGGCTGAGCAGAGATTTACATAGATACTTAGTGTGCTTAAGTGCTTCATAAATTTAGTTGATAACACTTTTAGTGCAGATCAAGTGTGTAGTTTAAGAGTAGGAAACAGATGTGCCCAGGAATAAAACATGCTGCTCTTCTGTAAGCTGGAAATACCCCTTCAGAGTAGAACAGTGTGCAGAAAGGCATTCTTAACACACAAATACTGCTTGAAAACTTAAAGATTTTATCTTTAAGGTGACCTAGGAAACTTAAGTTCTGATCTATGCTGAAACATACAGGAAACATTACTGCATTTAGTAAAACTCCCAAGCAACGATACTGTGAATTAAAGTTTAGATCAACAGCTTTCTGTTCAGGGGATAGGAAGGATGTTTGCAGCATATCCAAATTTTTTAAAATAGCATATATTACTGGTAGATTCTGGTGAAAAATATTACTTTTTTAAAGCATTTTTAAAAGCTTTTTATCTGAAAACCTGTCCCAAATAATTTGAAAATTAACTACTTGGTTTTTAAACAGACTCCAGTTCCAGTGATAGCTACACTAGAAAATGTGTATGTGGAGTATGAAGGTGAGAACAGTAAGCTAAATGGTCTTGCAAATGAATTTAATGTGATAAGGGGAAACAATAGTATAATTTTCTTTCCATTCTCTTCAGTGCTGTTAGTCTTATGGGTTTTGTTGTGGTGGTGTTTTTTTTTATAGAGGACCCAAGACCTGAAGATGGCCCTGGTGTCAGTTATGATGATGTGATAAAATGATCAGCTCATAGTGAGTGGCTGTGTAGTAATAACCCTTTAGGGTAAAAGAGAAAACCCCAAATCTCCAATGAGACCTGCATATTGCTTTCTTCAGTAGAGACAGGTAATTTTCTTGTACTGCAGACACTGCAGGTGTTAGGTTTGATAGTGGAAATGAGAACTGTATTGTTCTTTTTGCATTGAGATGGCTCACAGCAAACACACAAGGTGATGGATAGCCTTCCACTATGTTTAAAGGTTAAGCACAAAGTCTCTTAAAGCTTTGACAAGCTCAACTTCTATCACAGGTTTGATTATTATTTCAAAGCCTTTTGCCTGCCTGACTTATTAAATAATTTAATTTGCTTATTTTCTGGCATTGCAATGTGCACCTGGAGTTCAATGGTGCTTTAGCTGATACCTCAGGTGTAACTGTTGACTCAAATACTGCAGCTGAAAGTTTCCATGAAATTTTATCAGACTTTTAAACAGGTTCAATATTATTGCTGTGGTATCTTCTGCAGCACTCCCACAACTATAAGCTGCAAGGTGTAATTAACAGTGTTAAGAGTTGTCAGCAGCAGGCTTAAAATGGAGATGACTTTTTTGATGCCAAAGTGGTTGAGGTCTGTCCTCCTCGTGTTGCAACAGAGATTTGCACATGACATCTGCTAATGTGTGTGTGATTCATGGCATTCTCTGAATGGCAGAAGAGCTTTCAAAAGCTGATTGCTTTGTGGTTTCTTTAAAAGCTCCAATTCTTAAAGAGCTGAAGTCTTTTTTTTTTTTAAGCCTTTACTTAAAAGTGCATCTTTCAATTCATCAGCATGAGCTACTGTTAAGTGTACGGGAATATAAAGTTAGGTGGTGCCCTCTGAATACACAGTAACTGGCTCACACAACACAAACAGGGATAACATTCTAGTTTTGGTTTTGGGAATAATTATAATCCCCTGGCAAACTGCTGGTGTTTCAAATCCTTTTGTATACTTCTGTCTTAATATACAAAGAATCAGCCTGTGAAGCCTCTGTGAGGTAAGGGAAGAGTCTCTTGAGTTCAGTTCTGCATTCTGGGTAATGAGGAAAAAAATACAGCCTTTTTACTGCTGGTTTCTATGGAACTGCTGTTAAACTGAATCCCTCAAGCCTGATAATGTTTCTCATCTGTTTAATCATCTCAAAGCTGAACTGCACCTTGTTGCTGGATTGCTTGCTGCATGCACAAGTGAAACAGCATTCTGGCAACCTTGTGAACAACCTGCCTCTCCCACAGGTCAGCTGCATTCAAGAGTACCTAAAATTATTTCCACTGCAGCTATGGAGAGGTACAAGGTTGATGGTTCAGACCTCTGTTCCTGCTACAATGGAGTAATTAAATAAAGGCTTTAGCTCTTAAGCAGTGTTATGTCTGAAAAAAAAAACTTATATCCTGCTTAGTTTTCTGAGATAGAGCTTTGGAATTCAGCCTGTGGGTGGACAAATGCCCTGATCCTTGGAGCTGGTGCACGCTGCTGTATCCACAGGAGCCAGGCCGGACTCGCTCCCTCAATTGGAGCATTCTGCCACTTTGGAGACCTGTCCCTGTGCCAGTGGTGGCTCCGGGCCTGAATGCCCCCTTGAAATGAAGTGGTTTCGATTCTGTTGCTTTTGCTGTGAACAGAGGCTGCATTGTGTGTGCTGCGCTCGGTGTCCTCGGGCCTGGAGCAGCCATCTTCCCACCTGCCACAGACCTACGGCTCTGAGGGCATCCAGCTGCAGCCGTGGAAGTACCAGCCTCTTGATGATGAATTTTCTGGTATCTGTTCAGTCACAGGCAAGTGGTGCAGCCTGAGGGCTATGTGCATGCCAGACCTCCCCAGCTCCTGCCAGTGGCCACCTCTGGGATGGGAGCTCTGCCTGGGGGGAGCGCCTGATGCTCTGAGGGGTTGGGTGTACGTGACTGCATATGAGGTGGCTCCAGGAGCACCCTTGGCTGTGGAGAAGCTTCTTGCCATGTGCAGTGCTGTCCCCTTTCCCCAGGGTATGAATGGTGGCAGCTTGCAGTGCTTTCCCTGTACAAGCAGGTGTATTGCAGCTGCAGGGCTTCACCTGCCCATGGCAGCCATGCTCCCACTTCTCTCATCACCACCTACAAAGATGCAATAAAAAACAAAGGTCTGTGTGGAATCATCCCGGACACTCCTCAATACCCACATACCTTCTACCCTGTGGTCTTTGATATTTTCCATCACCAGTATGGTGTTCATGTATTTGCTGTGTGGATCAAATGCATTTGGGTGCTGTAGACAAAGCTGGAATGTGGTTTGCCAGGCTCTGGTGTTGTAAGGGGATGTTCTCACATTAGAATGTTGCTTTCCCTTGCTGCAGACTGGTGGAGATTTGCATCGGGCAGATTGGCTTTGGACAAACCTGTTGTATAAACAAATGGTGCAGGTCCCTGTGTCTGAGAAAGAACAACACCTGCTGATTTCAGAAAACAAAAAGTAATCTAGAGAAGACCTCACCTTCCTGTCCTTGCAAAAATCTCGGGACTACAATAGAACTAGTCATGCAGGAGACAGATGAACATGGTATTCTGGAGCCTGCCATGAGAACAAAACACAAATTCAAGTAGGAATAGTTCCCTGGTTAGCCTGCTGGATCCTCTAGCTGATTCTTTGAATAGGTGGTGGTGTGGTACAAGAGTTCCCTCTTTTTTTCTTTTTCTATTTTTTATCCCCCTAAAGAGTCAGTTCCTACAGTCAGAATTTCAGAGAAAACTATGGCCTAAGCACATGTATGTACTCATGCAACCATCAAAGAACTGGTGCTGAGTGTACTGTAGGTTCCTCTCCCACTCCTGCCCAAAATGCACAAAAAATTCCAGGCTTTGCCTTTCACTTCTTGAATAACTCAACTTTAAATCTGACTACTAAAACACAGGGCTGGGGTGGGCTGTTGTATTTAACTGCATCTTGTCTGAAAAGGTATAACAAGAGCCCTGGAGGAAATTTTGAAGGTATTGGGAGCGGGATTGTATAGCTTTCTGTGAATCAAAGATTGCTGAGAGTTATGTGTAAGCATCATTCTCCTCTCAGCTCAGCAAGTTCCAGTTTTAGGCTTACTAACGTTAGAAGTTTCAGCTCAAGAGACAGGCTGGGTGCCTGTCTCCAGGGCAAGCTTTGAGGACCAGGAAGATGGGGCAGCAGCTTTGTAAACCACTGGGTTCCCTGTCTATTCACGGGCAGAGGTCACTGCTCAGAGCAGGTCTGGGGAAGCACTGGGCTGTGAACCTTGTCAGTGGTGGTACAAAGTTTTGGGTTGAGCACAGGGCTGCAGCTCAAACCTGGGTAGTGACGGGCTGTTGTCTTTGCAGATGTTGGCAGTCAGTTCTGAGAAGGCTTTGTCAGCAACCACAGAGTGTTGCAGGAAGAGAAAGTCCACTCTTGTGGTTAGTGCAAACTGAACACTGCCAGGTAAATTGGTTTGTCCTTTCTGTGCCTTGCACAGAGATCCTGTGCCACACTTGAGCTCTTCACAGGTGGCTACTTTGCAAGTCTCCCAGATTCCGCATGCTCTGTTTGGAACACCGAAGGTTGAGTTTGATGGAACCGGAAACGAGTTTTACCACAGACAAGGATGGGAAAAGCTAAATGGAGTGAGGGGTAAGGGAAGCAGTTAGTCTTTGTCACAAGTTTAGCACTCAAACTGAAGATTTTGGCTTCTGGGCCTCTGTTGTAAATTGAAGCTTAGCCTAACCCCACCCTCTCTCACCTCCAGCGATGATAACAAAACATTTGTATCCAAAATCAGTAGGCTGCTGCAGTGATGGACACCAAAAAATGCCCTGGAGTAAATGAACTGTATTCTGTGCAGGGCTTGGCTGATGTGCAGTAAATACATTCCATGTGTGGCCCAGACACTGTGCCAATGAAGAGAAAACAGAAAGAAGAGTGGCTAGCTGCTCATTCAGCAATCACTGTCTCCAGTGCATTGAATATATGGAGCCCCAGGCAAAAAAACTGGGGGCCATGTTATAGCACCAGTTCTGTAACTCATTTAGAGTAGGCATGAGATGAGTTTGTACCAGCAATTCTAGTCCTGGCATGTCCCAGTGCCAAGGATTAGAT